AGTTTCTCTTCGTATCAACCATAAATACGATTTGTCTACTTATCTCTTAGATGAAACCTTATGGAAGAGATAGAGAGGTGATTCCATGGAAGAATATATCAGCATGCACGACATTTATGGGGTTGAGTTGTCATAACATGGCACTTACTAATTGCTTTACTACCCTTCCTAGAGGGGTTCTTCACTTAAAGCTATTTTCCGGCTTTACTGTCTGCAGAGAGGCTTTGTATTTGGTTTGAGACGAACACATAAAACGCTGTCCACCTAAATGTATTGAGCCATAAAATGCTTGAAAAATTGGCTAGTGATATAGGTTTTTCGTTTATAATTAGGCTATCATGACTACTAATAGATCATATCCATGAGATATATTCACCCTATTTTGATAAGACGATGCAAGACTGGTAATTGAATTTTTCCTTAATGAAATAAGTAGACCTTAAGTTCACATTGAATTTCACAGCTTTGCTTCCCAAAAAGTAGTCTCCTCCAAACTGGACTGCAAGTTCGACCTCACCGGAACTTGTCTCATCAGCACCTTCAGCGGGACTCGAAGTATGACAGTTCTACGTACAATCTCGACAAGCTAACAAATTCGCCACACTGGCACAAGGGTTCTTGGGCCATAGGGCAGATGTGATTTTCAGGAAAGGCCTGGAATTTTCTTATATCATATTCTGTTCTGAAATTGTCGATAAAGCAAAGTTGTGTTTTCTATAGCAATCGTCTACATTATTCATTTTTCGTGTTTAAGTCCTTCTTCGACTTAAAGAAATAGGGTGAAAACTTCTCATATATATTTTAAACTCATGATCTTGAAAACCTACTATCTCGTATTTTTCAACAAAATTAATTAAGCCACTATCTGTGAAGCTCTTTTGAATAGTAATTTAATTGTGCTATCTATCCTTGCAATAACTTAGCTTCAAATTGGCCGGACAGAAATTGAGCAAAAGGTCTGGTGGCCTACAATATTTGGTACCATAAATCTAAGGTAATTATCTTTAAGTATATTTCATCCCTTTCTCTTAAGTCACAGAAAAGGAAATGGTCAAATTTACTTAACCTGTGTGTAAATATCACACTTGACTCAGTGCTACTCAATTCTTTTCCTCGTATCCTTCACTCATGCCCAGCCTTTAGTTCCGATTTTGGCTGCCTAATCTATCGCTCAGTATAAGTAGTCCCGAAGCATTACAGTCTAAATGCTTTCCATTAATGCTCTTCTAATGAAAGCTTGTCCTTGAAGTAACACTGATTAGTCACCCAGCTTCATCTATAATGACCCGCATCTTGATTAGTCTCTTGAAGTGAAGTCATTCGGATATCCTACTCTAGCTAACTCACTTTGCTCAAAAATTCGTGGTGGATGTCGCTAAACCGATAGAATTTCTGGGTAACTCAGGTGAGGAGAAAGAATAAGAGGACAATGAGAGAATGGGACAAAAATTAATTAAAAATCTTTCGGACAAAAGCCAATGGAACTGTGATGTCCTGAAACCGCCGGTGCCACAGTTCACTACTTACGCAAGATGGATAGGATGACCAGAAAACCGAGTCTAAAGTATTCACAAGAGATACATGATAACAATTTCTCTCAGTTAAATATACCAAGCTTAAAACCAATTTTCCACTTGCTTAAATCTTTCTGGCCTAATTATTTGGAGTTTGGCTATGTGGACCGAAATGTTTCGTGACGAGACTGTAAAAACGAGCCAATAGGCAAATAATTTTTGAATGACAAGGATATATTTGTAACCAGATCTCTCTTCTTCTGAATACCCTTATTTTTTGATGCAGAAAAATCGGGGTGCAAAAGCTTTTCTGAAGGCCTGTTTATTGTGCGATGCGCAATATCAAAGGAACATTTGCTATGCTTAACTGCTTTAATTTCTTCCACTAACACTAATTAGAGAGCAAATCACATGTAACCATGATGCCTAATTTGCTCTATAACATGCAATAATATTCGGCTTATTGAATATCTGCGACTATTTGAGTAATGCAATTCCAGTTCGATTTGCTAGTTATTCATTTTATTGTACTTCTGCATCTCTTCATGCAATAGTAGCGACTAAGGAACGTGGCTCGAAAATTGAGGAGTCCTGGTACGACACTTTAAATTGCGTCTCCTAACCGGGGCTCATCTTAGCATCCTGAACTTAGTTGAGTTGCGATAAGTAGCATATTCAGATCATAATTTGAGAAACTTTCAACCTCGTAGGTAATTGAGGCAGAAACTACCATGTCAAAAGGGATGTCGCATGCTTTATCGAGTGTTCATCTTTTTTTTTGTTGAACCTGTTTCACAGCCAAGCGGCGACTTTGATTTCAACATCGTATTTTAAGTTAAGTTAATTAATAGACACATTAGGAGAACAATTGGCTAGGGACACCATATGCATTATTGCACACCTGACCTGAAATGCCTATATCCGCACACGTATGTATGCAGTTGGATAATACAAGCAAAATAGCTCAGGGATATTTTAGTATACCTACAGATGTAAGCAAAAACGATAGGATACCCTGCCGGTTGTCTTGCTGGAAAGTCAAATTCATAGACTCTAGTGAAATTAACGCTGCTCGCTATTAAAGAATATGAAGGAAACTTGATATCCTTATGAAAAATTGATGATTACCCAAGGGCATACTTGGAAAGTTCATTGATCAAATTAGTGACAAGTTGAGGCAGCGAATGAGTCACTTCTTTTGGGTGTAATTTGCAAACAACTTTATTGCGCATAAAGCAGGCAGTATAAAATATACAGACTGTACTCTAAAAAGGAATTCAAATTCGGTAAAAAGTATCATAAGTATGATAACCTTTTATTTGTATACGGCGTTGGATGACTAGTAGTTGAATTTTCTCAGAATCTTCTTAAAAGACATCAAGTTTTCATTGAATTGCTTTCAAAAAGATATTCTTATCTAGAGTTGACCGCAGTCTCAATCTCACATAAGTCCCACCAGAGAGAGACTAAAACCTGCCTAGTGAATACGGCCCCTATATCAGATCTACCGATGGTCTCGAAAAACTTATTGATAAACGGAAAATATATGATGTTGTCGATTTCGATAGCAAATATTGTTTTACTTCGTCTACAATCCCATCAGAAAATGCGATATGGGAAGGACCTAGGCTTCTATGAAATTCAAATGTTCCCTGTGGCTCAAGTGCATTCGAGGCAGTGTGGCGTATTGCTTCACATATCAAGATTATACCCTGAACTACCACAACCCGGGTTCAATTATCGCTGGAAGTACCGCAGAGATCTGGGTGTGATTGAAACCACATTCCACTGCTGCCTGGATGAGAATATCTTCTGGGAGGCAAGGCCATGTGAAATGCAATGGATTAAGCCTACTTATATCAATATGGGAAATTCATCATCTCTTAAATTGAACTCTTCATACTTTACTAGAATTCATAAAAGAATATTCATTGTGCCACGTCTTATTTCATCTGAATTACATGTCATATCAGCATAGGATAGCTTATATGACAAATTATGCAACTTCGTCTAATTTATATTCTTTGTAATGGTGAAAAGTAGTGCTTTGACGCATTCCACAGTTTTTTTCACCTAATCTGTTGACTACGATGCAAGCATGAAGTAAATAATTATTCTACTTCTGATATAGAGACTTAATTGTGACAACGGGTAAATTTTTAGCAATTCTTCAGATAGTGACTTTATATGAGCTTAGCCTCTATCTAACAGCCTATTTTTCCCAGAATATAATGGGTTTGTTTCAAGACTGTCAATATGTATTAACCGATAATTTGAGTCGATCTAAGCTGTAAGTTAAATTCTCCATGAGATAATGAGTGGGTAACACGACGCTATTGAACCGTTGGGGATGGTGGTAAGATCAAGTTTGAATTAAAATTGCAGTACAGACAGGATAAAATAACTTTTTGGGAGGCAAGGCTAAGCAAAAAAATTGGCACTGTTAAGACATTAACTAATTACTCATGTACCTGGTTTCAGTCTAGCAGGAACCTTATAAAACTTCGAGAGAAAATTTGTATATATATATATATAATGTTCCGAGATCTTGAAGCATATGAAGGGCCTATCCTATTCGAAGATCTCCGAAAGAATTAAATTATGATAAAAACATGCAATTAAATTACTTAATCCGAGTGGATAAATATGTTTTACTTAATTTGACCTATTCCCTCAATCATCTTAAATCGTCACAAAAAGGTTGGTTTCGGAGCTATTAACGGCCTCTCGGATAATGGTTGGCAGCATCGTCTATAGAGAGCGCAAGTAAAATGTCCCATTAACAGTCTTTCACTGTGTTTCTTTCAAATAACGATACGATTTCATCTACCACTAGCAAGCATCATTTAGGCTCATAACGTTATTGGTTTAATTCAGTTTATGTATTATGTCGCCGAAATCTTCACGGAGCCCCATTTACCCGTGCTTCCGCAGCAGAGCTCCACCTCAACTAGTCACACGTTAAAAGTACGAGTTTAAGACGATCAATTAACGTGTTTATTACTCAGTATCGTCTCACTTTCCTAATGCTTGTCTCTC